TGTTTTCCTTATTAGGAAAGCATTACACCTTGGTGCAAAAATAGGCAGGAGTGGAATAGAGATTCCAAACAGAGAAATGTATGAAAACTTATCTGATAAGGTGGCATTTATGATCAATGGTGAAAGACTAGAACACAATTCAGCCAAGTTCTTTGCCACTATAACAAGAACGGCCTTTTTGCTAATTTCCAATAACATGTTTCACATTTTCAAATGAGTTCTCACCAGAACAGCCTTTAACATTCACATTTCTAGGAACATTCAGTTCGTGATTGTTTCTGTGTTCTCTAAGAAGATGGAACTTTTCTCTATAGCTCTCCTCTTTTCTCTCTGAGCCTTCACTAGAATTGCCTTTAAGAGTGATATTTCTAGCATGTACCTTAAAACTATTCCAGCCTCTATCCATTAAACACTTAATAAGTATCTTCCACATATTTAGGTTTTTGTTATGGCAGCATCCCATTTCTCAGTACCAAAATCTGTGTTAGTGTGCTCAGGCTTCCATAACAAAATACCATAAACTAGGTGGTTTAAATAACAGACATTTATTCTCATAGTTATGGAGGCCAAGAGTCTGAGATCAAAATACCAGCATGGTCAGGTTCTGACAAGAACTCTCTTTCTGGCTGACAGACAGCTGCCTTCTTGCTGTGAACTTACATGCTGAAGAGAAAGAGAAAGCCAGAGAGCTCTCTATTGTCTCTTCTTATAAAGGCACTAATCGAATCATGGGAGCTCAACCCTTATGATCCCATCTAACATTAACTATCTCCCAAAGGCCTCACCTCCAGAAACAATCACATTGGAGATTAAGGTTTCAACAAATAAATTTGGGGGTAGGTGCACACAATTCAGTTCCTGGCAGTTAAACACCAGGGTGTCCTACAATGAGTTCGTCTCACATCCTATATAGATCACCTCTACTGTTCATAGGACTCATTTTACTCCAGATTCTGCCAACTATACCAAACTGAGGTGGAAACAAAATACCTCCCCAGAGTCAGAATTTTTTATGATTTAGTTTATCTTTATTGTTGAAAGTATTACAGATGTCCTCTTTTTCCTCCCATTGACATCCTCCACCCTGCATCCACCCCACCCCCAGGCCTTCCCCATGCTACTGTCTGTGTCCATGGGTTATGCATTTATGCCTGTAAATTCTTTGGTTAATCTCTCCTCACCCAAACACCTCAACCTTCCCTTTGAGATTACTCAGTCTGTTCCATGTTTCTAATATCTCTGAATCTATTTTGTTCATCAGTTTATTTTGTTCATTAGAATCTACATATGAGTGTGATCATGTGATACTTTTATTTCTCTGACTGCCTTATTTTGCTTAGCATAATACTCTCCAGTTCCACCAATGCTGCCCCAAAGGATCAGAGGTCCTACTTTTTTACAGCTGGGTAGTATTCGGTGATGTAAATATACTACTTCTGTTTTATCCACTCATCTACTGTTGCGCACTTGGACTCTTTCCAGATCTTAGCTACTGTAAATTGCGCTGCTATGAACATAGGGGTACATAAGTTCTTTCTGATAGGTGTTTTAGGTATTTAGGATATATTCCTAGAAGTGGGATCACTGGGTCAAATGGCAGTTCAATTCTTAATTTTTTGAGGAAACTCCATACTGTTTCCATAGTGGCTGAACTAGTCTGCATTCCCACCAGCAGTGTACTAGGGTTCCCTTTTCTCCACGTCCTAGTCAGCATTTGTCATTTGATGATTTGTTGATGGCAGCCATTCTGACAGGTGTGAGGTGATATCTCATTGTGGTTTTAATTTGCATCTCTCTGATGATTAGTGACTGAGCATTTTTTCATA